CATATAGTCTTATAGCTCAAATGCTACAATTTTTATTACATTGTATTCTTTATTTCCTTATCTCATTATTTTAATGTGCTAATTCTGTGTTCATAGTCCTAGATTGCATATCTACTTCTTTCTCCTTTAGCACTTATTACAGGATTTGGTGGACAAATATGTTCAATTAGTGTTTTTGATCACTTATTCTAATGAAGGTGCTAATGATTTTTATATTGCTTTTGGTGGTTGGGGTGGGGATTGTGGGATGATTCAGAGGCATAGAAGGTTCCATCCGCCAGGCCATTAGGTTATATTTCATTAAGAATGTGTAGCACCACAAAGGTATGGAGATTAAATGTTTATCTGTTAATACTTTTATTTATTTGTTTGTTTTTAATTATTTATTTTAATAAAGATCTGAGAGTATTACAGATCTCCCTCTTTTTTCCCCTCATTGCCCCTCTTCACCCAGTTTCTGCCCCACCCCATGCCTTTGACACCCTATTGTCTGTGTCCATAGGTAATGCATACATGCATATAAAATCTTTGTTTAATCTCTTTCCACTCCCCCACTCCCCTATCCTCTAAGAATTGTCAGTCTGTTCCGTTTTCATTTCTCTGATTCTATTTTATTTACCAGTTTATTTTGTTCATTAAATTTCTTATTTGTTTATTTTGATTTTAGATTCAATTATTGATAGATAATGTATTCATTCCTTTTTATTGTTCATATTTATTATATTTTTCTCTTCTTTTTCCTCTTCTTAAAGAATACCCTCCATCAATTCATGTAATACTGGTTTGGTGGTGATGAACTCCTTCAGCTTTTTCTTGTCTGTGAAGCTCTTTATCTGACATTCAATTCTAAATTATAGCTTTGTTTGGTAGAGTAATCCTACTTATAGGTCCTTGCTATTCATCCCTTTGAATATTTCTTGCCACTTCCTTCTGACCTGCAAAGTTTCTGTTGAGAAGTCAGCTGACAGTTGTATGGGCCTTCCCTTGTAGATAACTAAGAGCTTTTCTCTTGCTGCTTTTAAGATTCTCTCTTTGTCTTTAGCCCTTGGCATTTTAATTATGATGTGTCTTGGTGTGGTCTTCTTTGGGTTTCTCTTGTTTGGGACACTCTGTGCTTCCTGGACTTGTAAATGTATTTCTTTCAGCAGGTAGGGGAAGTTTTCTGTCATTATTTCTTCAAATGGGTTTTCAATATCTTGCTCTCTCTCTTCTTCTGGCACCCCCATAATGCAAATGTCGATACACTTGAAGTTGTCCCAGAAGCTCTTTACACTGTCTTCATATTTTTGGATTCCATTTTCTTTGTGCTCTTCTGATTGAGTGTTTTTCTGTTTCCTCATATTTCAAATAATTGATTTGATTATAGAAATCCTCTACTCTATTATTGAATCCCTGTATATTATTCTTTACTTCAGTCAGTGTGTGCTTAATTTCTGACTGTACTTTTCTATTTTTATTATTTTTTTTTGGCAATATCACTAAAACCCTTGAAAGTCTCACTAAGTCCCTTGGCAGTCTCAAGAGGATTCTTGAATAACCTTATAACCATAGCTTTGAACTTTATATTCAGTAGTTTTCTTTATTCCATTTCTTTCATTTGTAACATGTTTCTTTGTCTTCACATTCTGGCTTCTTCCATGTGTTTGTTTCTTTGTATTGGGTAGAGCTGCTTTGTCTCCTTGACTTGGTAGAGTAGCCTTATGTAGTAAGTTTTCTATAGGGCCCAGTAGCTTAGCCTCCCCAGGCACCTGAGTGGGGCACTCTAGGAGTGCCTGGGCTGCAAGCACATCTTGTGGTAGTTGAGTCTTGATTGCTGTTGGCATCATTGGGAGGAACTGACCTCCAGGCCAATTTGCTGTGAGGACCAGCTGAGAATACAGTGGGAGATCTGCTATGTAGGAGACACCCTATGGAGCAGGACTTGGTTCAGTGTGGCTTTGGTGCTCACTGAGTCTTCCCCTTGAGTGTGTCGCTTATGGATGTGTAGAGTTCTAATCTGGTATGATCTGATGCTGACCACTGGGTTCACTGTTTCTTAGGTATCCACTGCCTGGGGCCACCGGGCAGGGGCTACAGAGAGATCTTCAGATTCCTCCTCTTTGTATCGGGTTTGGGAGGGTCCAGGCAAGGTCTAGCTGTGAAGTAAGGTAGGCTGGTGCTATTTCTGGGTCTTGGGCCTTTCATTGATAGGTTTGGGGCACCCTGACCCAGCTGCTGCTTGTTTGAGAGATTTTATCAAAGTATGATGCCTGAGCCAGGACAGGCCATTCATATGGAAAAGCTGCTGTAAACAGCTTGGGTGAGGCTGCAAATTGGATAGGGCATGGTCTCAGGGAATCACCAGAGCAGAACAAACAGTGTGCTTCAGGTTTATGTGGATTCAGGTTTCGTTGCCAGTCAGCCCTGGGACAGGGGAGGTCTCATCATAGAAACAGTGACCACTATGAGCACCTCCATCTGGTATATATCTGGGTCCCCCAGAGCAGCCACAAGGCACTGAGTGCTGGAGCTCAGAGGAAGTGAGTCTAAGAAAGTTCACGCACAGGCCCTTTAAAAGGAACAGCTGGGCCATCAGCAGTCTCCGTGTCACTGCCCAATCCCCACTGGTTTTTACAGCCCATACTCACAACAACTTCTCTTCCCAGTTCTGGGAGCCTGGACTGGGGGTCTGGTGTGGGGCTGGGACCCCTTTTGCCTCACAGTGGGCCTCTGCAGAGACAATCTCTCTCCCAATTAAAATAGCGGTACATGTGGGTGCTGGTCCAGCCCATTTCACACCTCCCCCCATCCTACCAGTCATAATGTGCTCTCTTATTTATTTCTCTAATTATAGGACTTCCATTTATCCAGCTGTCAGGTGGTTCTGGATGATGGTTATTCTGTATTTTAGTTGTAATTTTGATGTGGTTGTGGGAGGCAGCAAGTACCAGCATTTATCTACACTGCCATCTTGGTTCTCTCCTGATAATACTTTTAAAATCTACATTTTCTTTAATTCACAAACTTATAAAACCACTCAACATAGTCTGTTTGATCATGTTGGAAAGTGTAGCTGATGAAATGGCCTACTTACAGTGATCAATGGTGCTCTAAATATTCTGGGAAACGGGTATTGTATGGATAGAGTAATAACTCAAGTAAGAATACTGTCTAATAAATGTTTATACACCATAAAGTCTACAAACATTGAATATAATAAATGATATAATTTTTCTATCCTGTAATTTATCTCAAAATTTTTACCTTCTTTTATTTTCTCTCCTAGCTTTACTCACAGACAAGCCTCCGAAGCCATTATTCCCTATGGAGAATCAGCCAAGTGTTATAGATGTACAGCTGGGTAAGTCCCATTCTGGGAATAATAGATCCTAAACTTGTTCTCTGTTAACAGATGGGGAAAATTGCATGAACCAAGAAAGGTTTATTGCCACTGTTATTACATTCAAATCAATTTATGTCTACTCATTTATAACCCTGGAGTTCAATGCAATAGCAGTTTAAGGAAATGTGTTTGTATTGCATCAAGAAATGGTAATACTAATTGGTTACACTGGGTATTAAGTGTGCTGTAGAGCAGAGCTTTTTAACTCTATGATTGATAGATTCATGGGTGTTGTACATTAGTGATTGGTACAGAAAACTTTTAATGGTTGCAAGCATTTTTTTTTTCAAATTAAAAATCATTAACCTTTGTGGAATAATCACTTTCAAAAAATAAGCCTCAAATAGCCTTGAAAATATTTTGATAATATTATTGCCAATGGCAGACTATATGGTTATTTAAAACTTGTTTTAGGGAAAAATCTTGAATATTTATGAATCATATGGTGTTGGGAAAAGGAAAAAGTTGATTGATAGGTGTTGCTGTCTTTTTATGGTCTCAAATAAGGATGCAAGGTATTGGGACCTTTATCGGGTGTCCCTTACAACTAATCCTTGTATTTAAAGAACTTTAAGCTTAAAACTCAGAGTTCTGCCAGTATCTCTTTTAAACCTTCACTTTAACCTTTGTAAGCCTTCATCAACTGAGTTCCAATCTATTCCTCAATTCTAAGAATGTCTTCCATTATGAACAAGAGAACTGAATAAATATGCTGGAAATGCATTAGGGTTACTTTGTGCATATAATTTATGGAAATATCTGACTATAGTGGGACCTACCAATTTATAGCCAGGTACGATGAATAGACCCCAGCATTTCACTCATTTTTTACTCAACTTTAAAATAATTTAATTTATTGGGGTGATAATAAAATTATGTAGGTTTCAAGTGTACTATCTCTTACCCTTTTGGACATCATGGATGGACCTGGAAAATATACTAAGTGAAACAAGCCAAACTGAGAAAGACAAATATCACACGATCTCACTTATTTTGGGAATCTAATGAACAAAATGAATTGACCAACAAAATAAGACCTGAAGCATAGAAGCATGGAACAGTCTGACAAACCTTGATGTGGGGGTGGGGAGATGAGAAGAGATAAACCAAAGAACTTATATCTCTATATGCATAGCTCATGGATATGAGAAATAGGGTGGTGAAGACCTGGGTGGTGGGTAGGGGTTTGGAGGAGAGGGGCACAAGCTGGGAAGGGGGGGATAAATGGCTGACATCTGTAATACTATCATAATAAAGATATACATTAAAATAAAGAAAACAGGTTATGAAATAATTGTTCATGTTTTTACTTGAGAGTTACATTCAGTTCTCTGTTCTGCATATTTCTAAAGTCAATACAGTAAATGAAAATTTTCAGTGGAAGTAAGTATTTGTTAGTGTATGAAGTTGGCATTGGTGCAGATATTCTGTTGTCTCTAGAGGAATACAAACATTTTTACTCTCTATGCTATAGTGTATTCCATTAGGCACCTACAAGGTTCTAGAAATTTACATACCTTTTGCTGAAAAGTGATGACAGTTTGGTTATTGCTATATTGGGTTCACAGTATAATGCTGAAAGAAGATTAATCTTAACCAAATAACCGTATATTTTGAGATGATAAACAAGTTCTTAACAAAATAATCTGAAAACTATTATTCTCACAGTGCAAGCAAATTCAGCTGCACCTGCCCATAGTAAAGTATAAAATATAAAAACAAACGCAATGTTCAGAACACACAAAAATCTAATTTGGTCCTGTTATGTTTGATTTATTTATTTTCTCTTTCTGAAAGTATATTTAGCTTTTATTTTAATAAATAAATATTTACTCCACCAGGACTAATTCTTTTTTGGAAGTTGGAAGGAATTTTTGTTTTATTTTGTTTTGTTAAAGAATGTTTTATTTTTAGAGATGTAACCTTTGGAATTTAAAATAAACATTATATTCTTTAGAAAAATTATTTTATAATACAGGTACTTTTAAAAATATTTCTCTGTGAAATAATTTTCATTAAAATATTTTAATAATTCTAAAACTGCTTTCTGGAAACATGGGGAACAATGAAGGAGGAGGTGAATTATTTCAGGGTCTCTGATTAGTGCTTTTTATCCAGTCCAGTAAGGCAAGTAAAGGGTCATAAGATAAATGTTTTAGGAAACTAAGTTAATGAAAATAACATTCAACCTGAAATCACACCATCCAGGAAAAAGAAAGATTCACATAACAACTTGGAACAAAAACCACACAAAATATTATACTCATTAGAAGCTACTCTTAGTAGTAGAAACAGTATATGCAACATAAAAAAAATTCTTACCATTTATACAACACCTGTCATTTGCCAGGGACTGTGCTAGGTACTTTAGAGTCATGACTTCTAATTCTAAAAGCCATTCTTAGGTATATGGTTAAAGCTGTTTTTTTGATACAGAAGAAAAATAATCTCATTAAAGTTTAATGACTCATCTAAAGCATCACAGAGCTCATAGATATTAGAACTAGGTTTAGAATCCGAGTTTTCTTCCACACAATACAGCACCTACCATAAGGAAAAGTATCAGCCCCCTGGTGCCTGTGTCCATTGGTTATGCTTATATGCATGCATACAAGTCCTTTGGTTGATCTCTTACCCACACCACCCCCCGAGCCTTCCCTGTCTTCCCTCTGAGGTTTGAGTCTTTTTGATGCTTCTCTATCTCTGGATCTATTTTTGTTCATCAGTTTATGATGTTCATTATATTCCACAAATGAATGAGATCATGTGATATTTATCTTTCTCCAACTGGCTTATTTTGCTTAGCATGATGCTCTCCAGTTCCATCCATACTGTTGAAAATGGTAAGAGTTCCTTCTTTTTTTACATCAGGATAGTATTCAATTGTGTAGATGTACCACAGTTTTCTAATCCTCTCATCTGCTGATGGCCACTTAGGCTATTTCCAAATCTTAGCTATTGTACATTATGTGGCTATGAACATAGGGGTGCATATATCCTTTCTGATTGGTGTTTCTGATTTCTTGGGATTTATTCCTAGAAGTGGGATTATTGGGTGAAATGGGAGTTCCATTTTTAATTTTTTTAGGAAACTCCATACTGTTTTCCACAGTGGCTGCACCGGTCTGCCAGTAGTGCATGAGGATTCCTTTTTATCCATATCCTCTCCAGCACTTGTCATTTGTTGATTTGTTGATGATAGCCATTCTGACGGGTGTCAGGTGGTATCTCATGGTTGTTTTGATTTGCATCTCTTTGGGCTTTCTTGTTGTTTTGTTGATGGTTTCTTTTGCTGTAAAGAAGCTTTTTTAATTTGATGTAGTCCCATTGGTTTATTTTCTCCTTAGTCTCTCTTGCCCTAGGATCTGTGTCTGTAAAGATATTGCTATGACATATGTCTGCAATTTTGCTGCCTATGGAGTCTTGTAGGGTTTTTATGGTTCCCCGTCTTACATTCAAGTCCTATAGATATTTTGAGTTTGTTTTTCTGTATGATGTAAGTTAGTGATCTAGTTTCATTTTATTGCATGTATCTGACCAAATTTCCCAGCACCATTTATTGATGAGACTGTTTTGACTCCATTGTATACTCTTGCCTCCTTTGTCAAATATTTATTGAGTATAATGGCTTGGGTCATCTCCCCCATCCCTCCAGGCCTTCACCACCCTATTGTCTGTGTCCATGGGCTATGCATATAAGTGTATAAGTTCTTTGGTTTATCTCGTCTCATTATACATACACACACACACACACACACACACACACACACACACACACACACACACACACACACACAC